TGTCTTTAACTTCAAGTTGAACTTGCATATGAGCAGTTGATGGTCTGTTTCACAATCAGCTCCTGGACTGGTTTTGCCTGAAGATATTGAGCCTCTCGCCACAGATGTAGTCAATCTGATTCCTGTGTGTTCCATCTGCCAAAGTCCATGTGTACAGCCACCGTTTGTGTTGTTGAAAGAAGGTATTTGCAATGAATTAAGTTACTGGTCTTGCAAAATTCTACCACGAGATTTCCAGCATTATTTCTGTCACTAAGGTGGAATTTTTCAACTACCGGTGATTCTTCTTTGTTTCCAACTTTTGCATTCCAGTCACCAGTGATAATTAACATATCCTGACTGCATGTTCGGTCAATTTCAGACTGCAGAAGTTGATAAAAATCTCCAATTTCCTCATCTTTGGCTTTGTTGGTTGGTGCATAAATTCGAATAATAGTTGTATTAATGGGTCTTCCTTGCAGGCGTATGAATATGATCCTATCACTGACAGCATTGTACTTCAGGACAGATCTTGACATATCTTTTGTGATGATGAATGCCATGCCATTCCTCTTTAAACTTATTCCCGGCATAGTAGATCATATGATTGTCTGATTCAAAATGGCCAAAATCAGTCCATTTCAGCTCACAAATGCCTGGAATATCAATCTTCATGCATTCCATTTCATTTTTGACAACTTCCAATTTTTGTAGATTCATACTTCATACATTCCATGTTCCGATTATTAATGGATGTTTGCAGCTGTTTCTCCTCAATTTGAGTGGTGCCACATCACCAAATGGAGGTTTTGAAAGGTTTACCTTATCCATGTGAGTAAGGCTGGTTTTACTCTGATGATGCAGCTCTTTCCCAGTCCTACTTTGAGAGCGTTCTAATCTTACTGACTCATCCTCCTCCTCTGTATTGCGCAATATTTCCAGACTATTCATAATAATGTACAGTAATGTATCAGACAGTGTTTCTCTGCTATTCATAAGGTTTTCCCTGGCCAATTCTTTGAGAAAAGACAGAAAAAGGCCAGGGGGACTGGGACAGAGTGAGGAGTCAGCCACAGGGATCCAGGTGAGGGGAGGGAACCCTGGCCACGCCCCACATGCAGCAAGACAGGAAAGTGGAGGTGGGGGAAGGACAGAAAAAGGCCAGGGGTCCCAGGATAGAGCAAGGAGGCAGTAGTAGGGATCCAGGTAAGGAGAGGCTGGAGACGTTTCCAACAACTAAGGGAGACAGACTTGTCTGTCAGTTTGTCCTACTGTGGTGACGTGTTGCTGTGAGTCTTGAGTCTGTGCCACCGGTGTTTCAAACCCAGTGGGGTGTACATGGTGCACAGGTAGAAGGACAGCTTGCAGACTGAGACAGACTAGGAAGCCCAACAGTAGGAAGACCTATATGCAGAACACCTGCCCTAGGGCGATGCACCCACCTACTCTCGGGAGATGTACCCCTTAGATCAGTGAGACATGAGACATCAGAGGGGTAGCATTCGCAAAGAGGGAAGGCTGGACAGACAGGAATGCATAGTCAAGAAGTGTGCAGGGAGGGGGTAGTCACAGGGAGGGGAGGGAAGAAGAGTTTTTTGTGGTTGGGGATGGTAATGTGGGGGGGGCATAAAATCCAATGTGCATGAACTGTTGAAAGTAAAACAAATTTACTTTGTAAATTTGCACCAAAGCACAGATAAATAAATAAATAAATAGATAGATAGATAAAGTGAGGCTGCCTAGAACCAAACCAAACCCATTGCACTTACAGCCACCGCATTGGGTCATAGATTGGAAGTAGATTGCCTCATCTTCCTCCTACAGAGCAGCTGGTGTATTTGAACCACCGAGCTTATGGTTAGCAGCCAAACACCTTACTCACTACGCCACCAAGCTGCCTAGGCACAGGCACTATTTTGAAAACAGAACAAAAATTACTTGTAATTATTTATTATATTAGGAGCTCTGGTAGCATAGTGCCTAAGGCACTTGACCGCTAACCAGAAGGCTGGCGGTTCAAACCCACCAGCCACTCCTCGGAAAGAAGCTTGGGCAATCCTACTTCCGTAGTGATACTGCCTCGGAAACCCAAGGAGGGGTCGCTATGAGTCGGGGCCGACTCGACGGCAAATAACAACAACAACAACATTTATTATATTAATTTTTTTTTACTCTTGTGCACCTTCTGGTGACTTCCTTATTATGTACTTTTTAAACGATTGTGCATTAAAGTCAACAGATGCTAGAAGTTGTAAGTATATCCCTAGAAATGGCAGGTTGTTGTTGTTGTTGTTGTTATGTGCCGTCGCGTTGGCCCCGACTCATAGCGACCCCTCCTTGGGTTTCCGAGGCAGTATCACTACGGAAGTAGGATTGCCCAACCTTCCTTCCGAGGAGTGGCTGGTGGGTTTGAACCGCCAGCCTTCTGGTTAGCAGTCAAGTGCTTTAGCCACTATGCTACCAGAGCTCCTAGAAATGGCAGGTAACCAATGAAAATTTTAAAGCTCTTATCGTCCCTGTTCCTCAGATGTGCGTCTGATGTTAAATTGGTTCACTGTGTGGCTTGAACACAACATACCCAAGCAAAAAGTTTTTTTTTTTTTTTAACATGTAATTCAAGAAGTTTATAACTTGAAATTGAAAGCAGTTACCAGGGGTCTCAACTTGGAAAAATCATGGGGTACCTAAGAAGTACATTTGCACTGTTCCTTTTTGGTTTATGTACTTTTCATTTCTCCACGGCCAGGCACGACCAGGCTCAAGTGGCCCAACAGTAGGTGAATCGCATCGGTGACACTAAAAGCGTTCAGAGATGACAGTGAGAGGCTCCAACTGCCAACGTCAAACCCAGAAATGACTTAAGAGTAGAATGCAGAAGCAAAAAAGGAGAGCAGCAAAACTAATCCCCCCCTACCGGAACCTGGACGCCCTGCAGAAATGGCTGCAGTACGCAGACTCTGCGGCCGCGCGCAGGCGCACTAGGACAGGGGGCGTGCTCCTGGGTTAGTGCACTCGGGGTCAGTAAAGCCAGCGTCCTCAGTCTCTTCCCCGTCACGTAGGACCCGTGAACGCTATGGCGCTGCGGGGAATCTGTGTCGTGGAGATGGCCGGCCTGGCCCCAGGCCCGTTCTGCGGGATGGTCCTAGCGGACTTCGGGGCGCAGGTGGTGCGTGTGGACCGGCCCGGCAGCCGCGGCGACGTGAGCCACTTGTCTCGGGGCAAGCGCTCTCTAGTTGTGGACGTGAAGCGGCCGGAAGGCGCGGCGGTGGTGCGGCGTCTGTGCTCCCGGGCCGACGTGGTGCTGGAGCCGTTCCGCCGTGGTGAGCCTGGGGCTCAGGGGTCCAACACCCAACTGGCCAGGGAAGGGGCGTGCGAAGGGGAAGGGCCTGACGCGACAGCGAAGCTGCTCCCGCCACACATTTACCCTGTACCACGTGAACCATTTTCCGTCCCTGCCGTTCTAATCTTTTTTTTGCATGGGATAGTATTCATGTGCATCATACGTCCCCCGAAAAGGTTTTACGTCTTTAAATTCCAAGATTCCCCTTGTTGCCGTGGTTCTTCTTATGTCTCATTCCAAAGTTCTGATTCTTTCCAAAGTTTGTTTTCACTGCCCCTTTCTGTTTGCCTTTCTTAATTATGTGAAGGTCATGAACCCTTTGAGAAACTAATGAAAACTAAAGATTTTGTGCCCGGAAAACTGCGTATATGTATATAAGCACATGTTGGTACCATTTGGGGGTGAGGGTGAGGGTGGGGGTGGTGTGCTCTTTAAAACCATCAAGACTCAGGCTAACCATCTTGTTATTAAGTGCCGTCGTTGTGGTTCCGACGCTATTACAACAGAACAGTACACTGCTTGGTCAGATACTGCGTCATCCTCAAAGTCGTTGTCGTTGGAGCTCGTTTTTTTTGCGGTTGCTGTTTCAATCCATCTTGAGGGCCTTCCTCTTTTTCGCTGACCCTCTACCAGGCTAACTGTAACCCAGATTTCAGCCTGAGCCCATTTCTTTCACACTCTGCCTCCTGCCACCTTATCCGTTCCCAGTAGTTTTCACTTCCTAGACATTGATGATGATGCCCCAAACTTTCAAAGCTGCAGACTGTTGGCCTGCATGTCCCTCTGGCAGTCCACCATGCCCTGCAATTTAGAGATCCTAATCCGTGCCCATCTGCCTTCCCCAAATGGCATCTCCATCTTCTGAATTCTTTATCTCAGTGATTGGAACCAGTATCGACCCAGCTTGCTGAGTCAAAAGCTACTTCATTGTTGACTCCAATACCTTCCTTTCACGCCACCCCTCTTTTAACGTCACTGATGCAGTCATTCCTCCTTACCTTGACCCGGGGGTCTTTCTGTACCTGCCACCTTGACATTGGTGTAAAAGTCTTTTTCAAACTGGTGTTGCAGTTTAGTGCCACTCCAGTCTCATATTGCTTCCAGTACAAGCTAAAACATTGACTGGTATGTAGCAGGAAGTCAGTACATGTTTGGTGAATGAATTGGATGCCTTTTGGGGATCAGGCATTTTTAAATGTGTTAATACATTTAATCCTCACAGTCATATATGAAGATCATAATAATATAATAAGTAACATTATATAACGATCCCTCATTTAAAGGTTAAATTATTTTTGCAAGGTAGTTAGGAGGAAGGTAGAGCTGTGAATATAGATGTAGCAGCCAGGCTGGTGGCTGGTGTTTACTTAGATTGATGACTGGAATTCATCTGCTTTGGAGGTTAATGGTAGCCTTAAGAGAAAGGCAGTGAGTTCATTAAAGACCAAAACCAAACTCACTGCTGTAGAGTCGATTTGACCCATAGCGATCCTTCCTTGGGTTTCTGAGGCGGTATATCTACGGAAATAGATTGCCCAGTCTTCCTTCCGAGGAGTGGCTGGTGGGTTTGAATCGCCAGCCTTCTGGTTAGCAGTCAAATGCCTTAGGCACTGTGCTACCAGAAATACTGCTAAGCAAAGATTGGCATTTGAACCAACCCAGCTACTCTGAGGAAGAATGATCTAGCAGTCTGTTTTCTGTCCCATGAGGTCACTATGAGTTGGGATCACCCTGATGGCACCTAACAATGACAATAAATAATCCCAGGAGACTTCTGGTGCCACGGTTTTGTGCAATAAATGTTGATAGCAAACAGCTTTCAGATACTGTGGTAAACCTTTTTGTTTGCAGATGTTTACTGAGCTCTTATGTGAATGTCCTAAGCTAGGTACTTCGTGAGCCTGTAGAAACAGAGCAGGCGTGAGTCCTGCCAGAGGCGCTTCTGAGCTGACGGGAAAGATAGGACGTATGGGTGCACAGTATAGTTCAGGGTGGAAGCTAGGCACAGATGCAGTGCAGCAAGAGAACAGTCCTAAGGGGAGTACAACCAGTTGCCGTTGAGTCGATCAGGACGCATGTCAGCTCCATGTTTGTTAGAGTAGGACTGTGCTCCATAGATTTTTTCTGATGGCTGTGACCTTTCAGAAGTAGAATACCAGGTAGAGTGGGAGAACAATGTGGAACAAAACTCAAAGTTACGTGTGTGTGTGTATATATATATATATATATATATATATACACACATACACACACATACATACATACATACATACATATAAAGACCAGGCTTGTTGGTCGGATAGAGCTTGGTGAAACCCCTAAGACTATGGCCCCTAGCTACCCTTCAGGTCTGGAATTGAACTCCTGTGGCTTCCAACCAAATAAAAGACAGGCTGAACATTTACATCAAGTAGATACACTCCTTGGAGAGATTAATCATGGGAGAACAGAAGGGCTGTGTATGCACAGGGAGACAGCTTGGGGCAGGAATGCATGGGAGGGAAGGACACAGGGAAGAGGTAACTATGGGAGGAAGTGGAAGAGAGCTGTTTGTGTTAGACTGGGTTCTCTAGAAAACAAAAACAGTAAAGCTTATATATATGTATATATATATAGAAATTTATCTTAGGAACATGGCTCACACACTTATAGAAGTTGGCAAGTCCAAAGTTCCTAGATCAAATGTCAAACTGGAGGCTTTTCCACGTCAAGCTGGAGGCTTTTCCTGACTGTTGCAACTGCAGGGGCTGAGGAGCTGAAGGCTGGCAGGCAGTACACTGGCTGTTGACTCCAACGAATGACGAATCCAAGATCTCCAGGCCGAATGGTGGATTGTTCACTCACGGACAGTTGTAGGCAGCACAACAGAATCCTGATCCACAGAAGAATGTCTCTTTTCCCAGCATGTCCACAGATATACTGGAAGCAGGCCACACCCCTAGGGAAACTCCCTTTCAACGAATTGGCCATTCGGAACATAGTCATCTGATCCCATCATGGGAGTAACCACATCACAACAGCTTAAACCACGCAGAATTGTGGTCCAGCCAAGTTGACAAACAGCTCCAACTATCACACTGTTACATTGTGGGAAATTGCAGTCAATATCATGAGACAAAATGTATATGAACTGCTGTAAGGAAAGTGAAACTGCTTTGTAAACTTTTACCCATATCACAATAAAAATTAAAAAAAAAAAAGTAGAATGCCACGTCTTTCTTCTGCGGCACCTCTGGGTAGATTTGAACTACCAACCTTTTGGTTAGTAGGCAAGTGCTTAACTGTGTTACCCAGGGAGTAACAGTTCGTAAAAATTAACTGCATAGAGACCCAGGGTAAGAGTTCCAAGAGAAGAAACCATTTATAAGTGAATGAGGAGAGGATTGGCAAAGCCTCAAAGGGACTGACTGAAGGGATGTGATTCCTGCTCAGGGGATTGTATAGCCTTGGATATGCCTGGAGGAAAACAGGGAAGCCACACATTCCAGAAATGATGGCTTCACTGTAACACTGGGAGCACACCAGTGATGTTACTGGTACTGTAACAACCCTGTTTTATGTTTGCTGCAGAGAAGGGATTGTGCTCATCCTCAACTCGTGCTCTTAGAAAATGTTCCTTTGATTCACAGGGGTCATGGAGAAGCTCCAGCTGGGCCCAGAGCTGCTGCAGCGGGAGAATCCACAGCTCATCTATGCCAGGTTGAGTGGGTTTGGCCAGTCAGGAAGGCTCTCGGGAGCAGCAGGGCACGACATCAACTTTTTGGCTTTGTCAGGTATGTTGGAAAAGTACTTTGTTCCTATACTTTTGATTTCTTCCCAGATAAGATTTATGATTACATTTATTAAAAAGATTTTTGAAGGGTAACTATTCTGATTACTACTAGTGCCGCTCTGACAAGAAATATACCACAAATGGGATGACCTTAACAAACAGGAGTTTATTCTTACAATTTGGAGGCTTTAAGTCCAAGTTAAGTACCAGGCTCTAGAGGCTAGGTGAAAGCCCCTCAACCTTGGAGTCCACCTCTGCCTCCTACTCCCAGCCCACTGGAGCTAGAGGCGTTTCTTCACTCAGACACCTGCTGGCTGCTAAGGCTCAGAAGCCCCAAGGTTGACAAGTAAAAAGGCATAGTCCCAGTGTTACCAAACCACACGGCAGGCCATTAACTTAAGTCCATCGTAAGTCCCAAGGTCAGCAGAGCATGGCAGGCTGCTGAACAACGACCCGGCTACATGCAGGGTCCAAGTGTGCCATATGCTAGAGACTATTCCCAAAAGTACTTATATACAGGAAGCAGAACACATCCCAAAGGCAGCTACTCAGCTGCTTGTGGTAGATCCCACCATGGAGTTGATTGGCAGTCTCATCATGGGGAATAACTATCACCATCTGCCCAGCCATTCAGCCAGGCCCAGGCAAGTTGACACACAAACATAACTACCACAGTAACCATTTAAATACTTATCAGAATCAGTAAGGAAAACATCCTTGTTTTAAAAACATTGGTTTGGATTCTTAGAACAATTAGTTTCAACCTTTTATTTACCTGCCTTAACACATTCGAGAGAGAACATACTGTCACTCGTAACATTTATTCACTACATTTGTGGAGTGAATTTCTCAGGCAAGCACTTAGTAGGAAGTAAGAGACCCTTGGTTATAGGAGGGGCAGCTGCTGTATGGATTTGAAAATGCTGATATAATTTGAGTCTGGCAGCTTACTGTTTCCCCCACCTCTTACTGAGAATCATTGCCTATGAGTCATCATTCCATGTGCCTGTGAATGTTAGAAAAAGCCTATGAATTTCAAGTCCCAGTAACCTTTTAGGAGCCCTGGTGGCACAGTGGCATAGCTCTAGGCTGTTAACTGAAAGTTGGGTGGTCTGAACCCACCAGCTGTTGTATGGGAGAAAAATGGGGCAGTCTGTTTCTATAAAAATTACAGCCTTGGAAACTGTATGGGCCAGTTCTGCTTTGTCCTGTAGGGTTACTGTGAGTCGGAATCAACTCAGTGGCAGTGGGTTTGTTTTTTTTGGAGGGCATAGTAGCCTCTGGCAGGGCAGTGGTGGCTCAGTGGTCAGATTGTTCCATGTGGGAGACTCGAGTCCAACTCCTGACCAGTGTACCTCAAGTGCGGCCACCGGCCACCCCTCTGTAGGGGCCCCTGTGGTGCTGCGGTGCTGAACAGATTTCAGTGGAGCTTCCAGGAGCAGAGAGACCAGGAAGAAAGGCCTGGTGATCTCCTAAAAATCAGCCGACAAGAACCCTCTGATGACAGCAGTCCAGTCTCCTTGTGTCAGGGGCCAGCTGATGGCAGCTAGCAAAACCCAAACCCCCTCATTAGAGCCCTTGCCTGTGAGAACATGTCTCAGAATAGCCTGATTTCTGGAGTTCTAAAAACTGTGTGTTGTTGGCTAAAGGAAGTCTTTAAGTTTTCTGCGAGTATACATTTAAAAGGAGCTCTGATGTTTCAGTGGCTAAAACATTTGACTGTTAATCAAGAGGTCAGTGGTTCAAACCCACCAACCACACTGCAAGAGAAAGATGTGGCAGTCGGCTTTTGTAAAGATTTACAGCCCTGGTGGGAACCCTATGGGGCCATTCTGCTCTGTCCTATGGGGTCGCTGAGTCAGAATTGACTCAATGGCAGTGGGTTTGTTTGTTTGTTTAATACATTTGAAGGTTGAGGAAAAAATGTAGAATGGGCTTTTCACATCTATTTTAGTATTTAATCCCTTTTGTTTTTCTTGTGTATGATTATTTTCTGGTATTACTGCCTATTAAGAATGGGGTACTTTCAAGGAATAACTTAATCAGCATTACCTCGTTCACAAAGATAACTTTCTACACCCTTGTTTGGTGAGTAGCATCTGAGGTATTAAGAGTTTTGCAAGTGGCCATCTAGGATACAACTATTGGTTGTTACTTTTATGGAGCAAAAGAGAGTGAGGGAACACAAAGGGTCAAAGAAGAAACTAGTCCGCAGGACTAATCGCCCACATAGACCACAGCCTCTTCTAACCTGAGACCAGGAGAACTAAGATGGTGCCTGACTGCCAGCACTGACTGTTCTGACCAGGGACACAAGAAAAGGTCCTGAGTAGAATGGGAGAAAAATGTAGAACAAAATTCATTCCTAAGAAAGGTCAGATCTACGGGACTGATGGAGACTAGAGGAACCCTGGAGACTATCATGCTAAGATACCCTTTGAACTTGGAATTGAAGGTTAACTTTCAGCCAAATGATAAATTGCCTTGTAAAATAAACAATATCACCCATAAGTAATGTGCTTCCTTAAACTATTAACTATATGAGATGAAATGGGCAGCATTTACCCAGAAGCAAAGGGTAGAAGACAAGCAGGGAAGGGGAAACGAGATCTACGAGAACAGAACAAACAGAAGGAAATCGGGAGAGTGCTGACACATGTGGAAATTGTAAACAGAATGGAACAGTTTGTATCAAAACTGTTCAATGTGAACCTAATTTGCTGTATAAACTTTTACCTAAAACAATAAAATATATGTATGTGTGTGTGTTTTAAAAGAATGGTAGTACATTGTTGTTGTTGTTATGTGCCGTCGAGTCAAACCCGACTCATAGCGACCCCTCCTTGGGTTTCCGAGGCAGTATCACTATGGAAGTAGGATTGCCCAACCTTCCTTCCGAGGAGTGGCTGGTGGGTTTGAACCGCCAGCTGTCTGGTTAGCAGGCAAGTGTCTTAGCCACTATGCTACCAGAGCTCCCTGGTAGTACATTTTATATATGTATATATACATACACATACACACACATATATATATTTTTACATTATATTGTTTTAAAGCCATAAAGTAAATTGGTAGTAATCCTCTCCCCTGCCAAAAACTCAGGAAATAAAATCTTAGCAATAAAATTCTGAAAATGTCATTTGGATTAAAGTTTTGGCGAGAGGGAGGAAAACAGAACAAAACGCAGAGGTTGGCTTGAGAGAAATCCTATTTAGAAGTATGCTGAGCAGGTTCAGGTTTGGAAAGTATGTCCTACTTTTCACAGTCTCGGCAAGTGGGACATTGCTTGTTTCTTTGAGATGTCCATGTGTTGATTTAAAAGACATTAACTTTATAGTCAGTTTTTCCCAATATTTTTTTTAACGATGTAGGTGTTCTGTCAAAAATTGGCAGAAGCGGTGAGAATCCGTATGCCCCTCTGAACCTCCTGGCTGACTTTGGTGGCGGTGGCCTCATGTGCACTCTGGGCATCATTATGGCCCTTTACGAACGCACACGCTCGGGCAAAGGTCAGGTCATCGATGCCAACATGGTAAGTGTGACTTGGAAATGATAAACCTGCCAGTTGCTTCTGAATAGCACACAGTACTGCCTCCGGTCCTTCATGGAACAAGACAAGATAAATGAGATCTGAAGCTTGTATCCAAATTACTAAGGAGCTTCTATTCTTTAAAATAGGCTCATATCTTCTGTATTAGCCAGAAAGTCATATTGTGATCATCTGTTGTAGCATCAGTTTTCCAGAATTTTTGTGACTCACCTTATTCCTAGGTTGTAGTTCATTGCTTTTCTCAGTGTCTCTTGTGCTTAGACTACAGTTTTTAAGCAATCCTCATTTAAAATTGGATTCAGAAAATCTCCTGCAGCAGATATAGAGGATTCTGAAGGAGCTGAAGTGAAATGGACCAGTGTAGACCTTCCTGTTGTGTTTTGTAGGAGACACTCTGACATCAGAATGCTGTCATATATCGAGGCCTTACTGAATGCCTCAGCTGTGCTAGGCACTTTGCCTACCTATGGTCTCTTCCAGTCACCAAACCAACAACTCCATTTGGGATCCGTAATTATTTTTAAGAGAAGGAAACTGAAGCATAGACATTTGTTCAGAGTCTCACAGCTAATTAGTAAGAGAGCATAATTTGAATTCTTTTCTTTACAACTTCTCTTCCACCTGTTTTCATCTTGACAAATCTTAGGATTAGTTCAGAGAATGTTTTGTGGGAGATAAAATTGGAGGCAGAGAGACCAGTTACTGCACTGTTGCTGAGAAAACAGAAAAAGTAGTTGCTGTGGAGTCAGTTCTGACCCCTGGTGACCCCGTGTGCATCAGAGTAGAACTGTGCCCTGTAGGGTTCTCAGTGGCTAGTATTTGGGAAGTAGATGACCAGGCCTCCTTCTGGCTGAGAGATAAGGGCAAATACTTGCGTAGTTAATGGTACATGGGGCTTGGATTTAAGGGACACTTGAGGTGGCATGGTGGTTAAAGCATTTGGCTGCTAACCAGGTTAGTGGTTCGAACCCACCAGCCGCTCCATGGGAGAAAGATGAGACAGTCTGCTTTCATAAGGATTTACAGCCTTGGAAACCCTATGGGGCCAAGTTCTGCCCTGTCCTTTAGGGTTGCTATGAGTCAGAATCTGGGTTTGGGTTTCGAGGTTTAAAATACCTGCGATTGGGTGATGGATTGGAAGTGAGGGAAGGAGGGAGGAATCAAGGATGGCTCCCAGGTGTGTGTCTTTCATTGCCCAGTGGAGGGTGTTGCCTGCACCCTTGGAAAGGACAGCCAAAGGAGGTGGCAGCATGGTACGTGTCAAGGGCATAGATTCTGGTGGCTGACTTCCTCAATCCAGCTCTGCCATTTCCTAGCTGTGTAGTCCGGGACAAGTTTCCTAACTTCTCTGTGCCTCAGTTTCCCCCTCTGTAAAATGGGGGTGATGATGGTATCTGTCTCAGCGTTGTTAGGAGAATTAAATGTGTTCATCCAATGCCTGCTTCTTCTTCCTCTTCACAATCACTCTCAGCTCTGTTCTGTTCCTGTGCCTCGTGACACTGTTACCAGGACACAGATCCCATTGTATTTTGCATCTGCATCTGCAGTGTCTTTCTCATAGGAGCTGAGCTTGATTAAGTTTTTGTCTGTAGTCCTGTCTCTGTCAGGGCACAGTCCCAGCAGGCAGTTGTAGCAACAGCAGCTGCCAACGTCACCCTGTCTCTGTGCCAAGCCCCAGGCTAGGTGTTTAGCTTTGTGCTCCCTGCTTTGACCCAGCAGTTCTGGGAGAGCAGTGTGCTCCCTCCCAGTTTGCAGTTTTAGACTTTCAGACTTGGAAACATTAATGGTCCTTGGTCCTTGAAGGCAAAGGGCTAGAGAGGGTCAGATGCACTGAACCCAGGCCCTTTGACACTGAAGTCCCTGCTTTCAGTTAGTACATCCTTCTGCCGTCTGGGGCGTGGGCCATGTGTGGTATGTGGCCCACAAGGCGTTCAGCTCCTCTTCTGCCTGGACACTATCACCTGTAAGCCTGCTGTTAATTGCTGTAAAAGACCCGTGCGGTGGAGTCTGCTCCCATAGTCAGCACTCTACCTGCCTCCCTGCACTCTGGCCTCTGAATCCAACAAGACAAACTTCCTGGGGGTCATTTAGGGTTAGTCTGCCCCTACTTCTGCTTGATCCTGAGAGCTGTTAGCTGAGGCTGCTGTGTGCCAAGAAGCAGACATCTTTAATGGAGGCTACACCTGTAGCCAACAGCCTACTGGGAGGATTCTGATAGCAACAAGGTAGTTGTCCATGGGAGTCTGACCAGAGCGTGACACCCTCTCCTGGACCTGGAATTGTTGGTTCCCAGGCTGTTGCAAACTGCTACAGAAGGCCTCCTCAGTAGTCTGCTCCCATAGTCAGAGCTCTACCTGCCTCCTGTGCAGCCCAGAGCTCAGGTCTCTGAAACCAGCAGGACTGACCTCCCTGAGGAGCACTTGGGAGCTATCTGCTTCCCCTGGGACAGGCTCTGATAGCAACAAAGTAGATCTCCTGGGGCTCCATTCAGAATGCGACTACCATTCCCCGAACTGGTAACTTAGTGGTTGGACTGATGTGAACTCCATGGAAGTTCCCCACCATGGAGTCAGGAGGTGGCTTGCCTAAGTGGAGGCTGCTCCCCCAACTACCACAGGACCACTAGGGCTCTGAAACCAACAAGACATCCCCCTGAGGTCCTTCTGGGACGTGCCAGCCCATCCTCCTTCTGAAACGAAGGAAAGTCTGCGTGTACTTTCCCTGAATGCCAGCTTACACTTGAGCAGCCCCACAGAGCAGGGAAGGAACCTTCAGGCAAAACTGGAGGGCAACACCCAACCCCACAGGGGGCTCTCCGCATGGAGGTTTTCTGATTAAAGCAGGAGTGCAGAAACAGAAGGGAAGGGAGTGAAAACCAGAAAGAGAACTGCATCCCCTAGTGGACGGAGTGATTAGTACATGATAACTCCAAGACTGACTCTGGTGTGTTTGGAAGAGATTGAAAGCTGAAAAATGAGATCTAGAACTTGAAATCCCAATTATAGGCAGTCCCTGGGTTGCAAACATCCTACTTCCATACAACCCGTAGTAACACACCAACCCCCACAAAACCTTCCCTCTCTCTCCTAGCTTCCTGGATCCACACCAGGAGGAAATGATGTGTTGCTGCTTGGTTCATCACAGCTTTCAACACTCATTGGCCGAATACTCCTCAGCCTCTTCCTTCTCCTCCCGCTCTTCTGCTCCAGTTTGTGCTCTTTGCAGCTGGCACCATGCCACAGCTGCTGCCTCCACACTAGAACTTTTCTACTCTCTGACAGTCTCTTCCAGCACCCCCAGGGGCACGTCTCCAGCACCTGCTCACCTTTCCCCTGACCATCCTCCCTACCTGTACCACTGTGCCTTGGATAGTGTATTTTCCTTGCTCTCCTCCCTTTCCTCTTCCTCCTCCTCTTCCTCCATTTTCCTCTTCTCAACCATGACTTTCTGTGGGATGGCTGGTGCTGCTACCACTGCCAGCCTGCTCCTTGGCCAGCTGTACTGAGCCAAAGACTGGGAAACCCTTGGGCCTATGCACTCCTATTCTGCAGCCACTGTTGCCATCACTGCTGCTTGGGACCAGCCACTAGCCCTTGTCCCCTAGAGCTCTGAGCTACATGGCTGACTGCACTGCCTTGCCCTGTCCTGTGCTATACTGACCTGCAGCACCCAACTGGTTGCACTCTGCCTCTCCTAACTCAGAAACATGCTCAAAACATTATTATTATTATTTCTACTCTGTTATTGTGTTAAAAATGTTATAGTGTATCTGGAGGTGTTTCTTTTAATTTCTTTTTATGCATAACAAGATGCATTATATACTAAGACAAACATTTGACTAACTGATGTTAGATATGAACCATACCTAGCTGTTCCTGCTTTCATACAAATTTAACTTGAAGACAGACTTAGGAGTGGAAGTCATTCATAATCCAGAGACTGCCTGTAAAATAGGGAGGGAGGAGCTATCACAGAGAGGGAGAGGAAACAGTAAACAAAGGTCAATGGCTCTGCCCACCTAAAAGTTTTTGCAGAGAATATGCAGACAGAAACTTCAATTACTGGGGAAAATAGAGAACGTTAGCACCTTCAAAAATTCCAATGCCCCTACAAACAATTATAAGAAGGAACAGAGAAATAATGGCCCATCCAAATGAACGCATATTTAGGGATGACCAAATAATGAAAAATGGAAGAATATAATACAACAATATTAAATATAGTTAGAGAACTAAGGGAAAACGTAGAGAAAGAGCTAAAAGAAATTAGGAAAATAATGCAAGAACAAAATGAGGATCTAAAAAAAGAAATATTGCAACTAAGAAGGACAATAAATAAAATAAGAAACAAAATGGAAGGAGTCACCAACAGATTTTGCCAAGCAAAAGAAAGAATTAGTGAATTAGAGAAAAACAAAATAGAGGATAAGAAAGTTAAAATTTCAGATGATAAAGAGAAAGAAGAGTAAAGGCTCAAGAAGGCTGAGCAAAATATAATAGAATTATGGGACAAGAAGGATCTAATAGACACATCATGGGAATTCTAGAAGGAGAAAGAGAGAGGGAAAGGGACTGAAAAAATATTTAAATAAATAATGACAGATAAATTCCCCAGTCTTAACAAAGGACATGAATCTACAAATTCAAGAAACTCAAAGAACCCAAACAAGATAACTCAAAGGGATCTATACCAAGACATATCATAGTTAGGTTCTCAAAAATTAAAGAGAATCCTGAAAGCAGTGAGGGAGAACCAAACATCCCTGTACAAAGGAGTCTCAATAAGATTAAGTGCTGAGTTTTCCTTGGAAACATGGTAGGCCAGAAAACAATGGAATGATATTTAAAGTGCTGAAAGGAAGAAGGAAAAAAGAAAACTGTCAACCAAGAAACCCAGTGAAACTCTTTCAAGAATAAGGGTAAAATTAAAACATTCCCTGACAAACAGAAGTTGAGAGAGTTCATATCCACCAGACCACCCTA